GACGGAAGCCTCTCCTCAGTGCAAGACACATGAAAGCCTGCATGGAGTTTGCTAAAAAACACCTGAAGGACTCCAAGATGGTGATAAATAAGATCCTCTGGTCTGATGAGACCAAGATAGAACTTTTTGGCCTTAATTCTAAGCGGTATGTGTGGAGAAAACCAGGCACTGCTCATCACCTGTCCAATACAGTCTCAACAGTGAAGCATGGTGGTGGCAGCATCATGCTGTGGGGGTGTTTTTCAGCTGCAGGGACAGGACGACCGGTTGCAATCGAGGGAAAGATGAATGCGGCCAAGTACAGGGATATCCTGGAAGAAAACCTTTTCTAGAGTGCTCTGGACCTCAGACTGGGCCGAAGGTTTACCTTCCAACAAGACAATGACCCTAAGCGCACCGCTAAAATAACGAAGGAGTGGCTTCACAACAACTCCGTGGCTGTTCTTGAATGGCCCAGCCAGAGCCCTGACTTAAACCCAATTGAGCATCTCTGGAGAGACCTGAAAATGGCTGTCCACCAACGTTTACCATCCAACCTGACAGAACTGGAGAGGATCTGCAAGGAGGAATGGCAGAGGATACCCAAATCCAGATGTGAAAAACTTGTTGCATCTTTCCCAAAACGATCATGGCTGTATTAGAACAAAAGGGTGCTTCTACTCAATACTGAGCAAAGGGTCTGAATACTTATGACCATGTGATATTTCAGTTTTTCTTTTTTAATAAATTTGCAAAAATTTCTACATTTCTGTTTCTTTCTGTCAAGATGGGGTGCTGAGTGTACATTACTGAGAAATAAAATGAACTTTTTTGATTTTTGGAAAATGGCTGCAATGAAACAAAGAGTGAAAAATTTAAAGGGGTCTGAATACTTTCCGTACCCACTGTATATAGATAAGATGGGACATTTTTCATTTCTGTCTGTCTCTCTGAGCTCTTTTAAGCCAGTTACATGTGTCTGCTGTTATCTACAGACAGAAAATGGTTTTTATATATATATATATATATATATATATTAGTTCACCCGACAGTCTGGGTTAGTTGTAACTTACTCTGGGGGAAATGTAACATTATGTAATAAGGAACATGAGAGAAATATAATGTTGAAAGCTTTTTATTCAACACTTAAATTGTTTAACATAATTAATGTGTGTGTGTCAGACACGTACTGAAAACATAAATACAACTTATTTTTCTTTGTTGTTACAACAAACCCAGACTCTGGTTGTTGATACAGCTTACAGCTAAAACATGAGCACCAACAACTTACATGGAAGATAGAGACACAGAATAAACGTGAAGTTTGGTGAGTTTAACTACAAAGCAGGAAATGATATAATAAAAAACTACAAACTTTCTTTCTTAAAATTATTTTGTTCCTTCTCAAATTTCCTGTGCTGCCACGGGGAGCTAGTGGAATAAGGACTAAACTGAGCATGTGCAGAGTTAATCAGGTGATTGATGACTGAAACATGTCATCTTTACAGATATGATAAATGAAGTAGCTAACATTGTGCTCTAGATAACAAACTTTCAAATGATATCTGATTCAACATGGAGAGTTTTAAAAAGAACAGTCAAACTTTTACCTGGAAAAAAGATGGATGCTCGATCTGCAGTTGACAGATTTGGTATAAAACAGACAAATAATAATGATTTATGTATTATTCAAGATTGTTTTAGACATTTGATTAAAGTATGCTAATAATAATAGCTGCAAAATAACTTTACAGATTGTTGCAAAATCATCATTTTGGACTGTGGTGTCTCCTTAATGCAGAACAGATGCAGCTCCAGGAAGTTTTTCTGTTCTCACAGTCGACCTTCTCTGCAGCAGAAAAACAGGAGGGCTCTGAAAATGTTATCATATTTACATTTAGACGCCTCTGGAGCAGGAGGGGTTAAGTGTGTTGCTCAGGGACACATTGGTGGACGGGTCACAGTGGGAATTGAACCCGGGTCTCTCACACCAACACTTGTCTTATCCACTCCACCATCACATCAGAAATACTGAGCATCTCTCTTCATGCCAGAAAATTTGGCATTATTGACGATAAGAAAATTTGAATCAGGATTGCTTTACTGAGGTCCAGTTTAAAACTAAGTGTCCGTGACACTTAGAGGGAGGAGTTATAAAGTTTGATGGCCACAGGCAGGAATGACTTCCTGTGGCGCTCTGTGCTGCATTCTGGGGGAATGAGTCTCGCGCTGAAAGAGCTCCTGTGTTTGAGCAGCAGGTCACGGAGCGGGTGGGAGACATTGTCCAAGATGACATGTAGTTTGGACAGCGTCCTCCTCTCTGACACCACCGACAGTAATTTAATGCAGCATTATAATTTTAAAGTGTTAAATCAGTGTTTGTGTCGTGGCAGCTGGAGACGGCTGGGAGCCCCAACCTGGGTTGTATTTGGATGTTTGCCATCGGCATCCTCTACATCGCCGGTCTGGGGGTCTATGCAGGCCGCAAAGAGAACACATTCGCCCTCAAAATAGTACGTAGCACAAGAACTCAGGAGAATCAACTGTTTTTTGTTAATTTGATCATTTTGTTGAGCTGTGAAAACAAGAAGGTGTCGTGATATCTTATTAATGTTGTTCATATTGTTTCATGTACAGTTTGCAGGCTTCATGGGGGATGGACTTATTACCATGACGATCTTTGGCATCATTCTCACTGTTGAAAGGAACGAGGTCATCTGTCCGTCCGTCCGTCCGTCCGTCCGTCCGTCCGTCCAGAAATATTTATGATCCAGTTCTGTTATTCTCTGTATATGTTACCATCACTGTCTCCTTCTGTTCTCTTGACACTAACGTTGTTCTTTCTCTGTATCAGTTTCTGTATTTATCATCTGTGGTCATCATCTATCATGCTCTGTTATCTTGATGCTAATGTTGTTCTTTCTCTTCTTGTAGGTGAAAAGCCGCATTCAGGCGGTACAGCCCTTCATGTATGACATGGAAATGAGAGAGCTGCTTAATAAGCTACAGAAAGAGGTAATGTTGTGTACCATTAACCCTTCTGAGTCTGGTCCAGTTAGACCGAACGATTCTAGGATGAGGTGTCGCTCTTAGTATGCAGGAAACTTTCATATAGCCTAATCACATTTTTACACTTTGCATTGATGATCATATTACGTCACAATAACAGCTGCTATGTTGCTCAACAATAAAAAGACAGGCCACACTCCTAAAGGAGGATCAACAGTCCTTATTGTGATCCTGTCATCTGCTGCAGCAGCAACGCAGGTTTCTGTTAAAACTCACCCTAATGTGGTTGCAGGTAAAGTGCTGTGGACTGGTGAGCGCCGAGGACTGGGGTGATGATATCCCTTCATCCTGTGGGTGTAACTTACTGAGAGGATCTGACTGTAAATCCAAACCTCAGGTTGTTTTTTTAAAATCAATCTGGAATATCAGGTTTATGTTATTTATATATACTGTACACACACATCATTGTACTTCTTGCTCTTGTTTTCTTGCAGGGAACCTCAGGCCCAAGCTTCATCTATAAACAGGTATTCAATCACTCAACCAACCAAAACACCATCCAGTTTACAAGTCAGTGATGTTTCCAGATAATGCCCCTTTCTCCATCGTCTCCTCTGCAGACCTGCGGTGACCACCTCTTTGAGTCGGTCACCTTTGTCTTAAAGATCGGCCTGGGCTTCTGCTTTGGATTTGCTGTCACTGCAGTAAGCTCCTCTGTTACTCTCCTCTGTTGTGAGGAGGAATTTCCAGGGAATAACATTCATGATCATTAAACATTAAGGGAGATGTCCACTCCATGTCCCAAAATGCATTTCAGTAGCTTTAAATGATGTTGTTGCTAACAACGATCTGTAGCCGATGATTACACTTCAGCAACTGTGGTGCAGCGTGTTGTTCCTAACTGTACCAACGAGGCCGTAATATTAATTTAGTTACTTTAGCTTTTTATTTGGCTGCACAAAATTATTGTTTTGTAAGTCACAAGTGGGTTTTAGACCGTTGTGATGATGCCCTGAGTCAAGTAATCCAGGAAAAGCTAATAAAGAAAGTAAAGTAATCTTTATGTAGTCAGGAACTACATAAGTTAGTTAGTGTCTGAATAATTTGATTTTTTTTTCCCTGTCTGGGAAAGTTCCCGTGAAGGAAAAGGTCGGAACAACAACTCGGGATGTCTGAGAAAATGTTGGTACATGAGTTGCCGAGTTGTTGACGTCTCACATGTAGAAACATGGCTGATAGTTAAAAATGTTTTATTAATGGTACAAAATGATCCAATCATCTGTCAATCCAGTGTGAAAGTCTTTCACTTCTGGTCTGATGGACAGTGTCTGACAGCTGCTCTACTCACCTGTATGTCTTCCTAACTGACTACCTGTCCTTGTAGCTGCTGGGCCTGCTGATGTCCCTGCTGATGATCCATCAGATCAAACGTCATGACAGCGCAGCAGGAGCGTCCTTTGCCATGACGGGATACTGAAGGGAACCCTCCACCCCTGACCTTCTGCGCTGTAAAGGAGGACTCAGTGGTCAATTCATGATGGCGTCTTTGTTTTGCTAGCAAAAGTGTTGTCTCGCAGCATTTGTTTTCTTCCAGATTTCTACTCTAGAAAACATTTTTGTTTTATGCATCATTATATCTCGTGTTATTTATGCTGCATACCATCACGTCAGACGAACTGACAGATGGTATTATTTTGTTTCTGTGTTACAAACTATTATCTGTTAAACTGAGAGAAAAGTCTGGTGTTGGTGGTAATAAGCAGAATTTCAGAGAGGGAACTTTATGCATGCAGGCTGGATGCTGCTTTTTCACATCAACCACCAAAATATGTTAGAAATATAACGTGGAAATTAACTGCAATTCTCCATCAATCCACAAGGTGAAGCTGCAACAGAAAGCAAAACAGAAAAGTCGATTTAAACAAGTGTTAATCTGCAGTTCTGTTGTCAGAAACAGAACTAATCTGCAGAGGCTCTTTGGGTTCAGAACATCTGAATGAAATAAAGTCCAGGTCCAGGTGGAGGTCCAGGTGGAGGTCCAGGTGGAGGAGGTGTCTGAGTGTGCAGCAGAAGGAGTGGAGGAGTCTCAGTGTGTCTGCAGAGACTGTGTAGAAGGACAGAGCAGCAGCAGAGCAGTCCAGATCCACTGATGATACTCTGTCACATCCAGAGGAACACACAGGGATGATGGTGGTTCACAGCTCAACATTATTACAAATAAATTTTAATAAATAAAAGGAAAAGCAGCAAATATTCACACGTGTAAAGCTGGAACCATGAAATGTTTTCACATGAAAAAATGTAGCTACCAGTTAATGTCTCTGTCAATGTAATAATCCTGTACTTGTATTGACTGTTGGGTAGTTTCATTTATAAAAAAACAACACATTTATATTGTTTTGTGTTTAGAAATCTGACTTTGTAAAATAACTACACTAAAAAGTACAATATCTCCCTGTGAGATGGAGGAGAAGTAGAAAGTGGGTTGAAAAGAGAAATACTCAAGTTCATTTTGGCCTCAGGTGAAGATGCCAGCGATGGTCATTCAGACTACTGCACAGGCTACTGCATCCCAGTCAGCTGCAAGAAAGAATCAAGGTTAGCTGGTTTAAATCTGCAGTTAGAGGAAACGTTAGTGTTTAAACATCTTCAAAAAAGCTTCTTCAAAGTCTCAATTTAAAAAAAAACAAAAAACATCTACCTTTGAAAGGACAGAATAATCTGGGTACAATCCAGAAAATGACTAAACATTTTAATATAAATGCAGAGACTCGTGGATCAGATGTCCTTATCTAGATACAGATCACATGTTGATCCAGGGGAAAACGGGGCCTCATTCATGTTTAAAAGGGAAAAGTCTGCAGAGGGCCCCTTTAGGATCCATAACATGTACGAAAGCCATCCTGCTTGGTCTCTTTTAAAATAAAGTAAATCTCACAAGAGAAGGCTGAAAAACAAATCAGGGACAAGAGAAATTAAAAGCTTCCCTGTACACAAAAGATCCTGTGGTCATGTAGATTTGAAGTAATGTATTAGGTAAAATATATTCAATATGATTGTGCTTTTGATTTTGAGGCAAATATTTAATTAAATTGCAAATGAAAATGTTTGGAATAAAATCCACCCATTGTAGTTAAATAAAACATAAGCATTATATTTATCTAATCCCAAATATTGAAAATGTTGTGAGAGTGAATTCAAATTAATGTAATCAGGGAAGTTTTAATTGAAAAGCACTTCTTGTCAAGAATTCCCATGATGCATGGCGGTGAAGGGAGTTTTGGTAAAATTAGCTAATAAGTGTCCAATTTGTTTGAAATACAACATTTATTTTGTAAATTAACCTAACCCTGATCGGACTCGGATATAAATGTATATATATTCTCATTATTTAACACATCTATAGTTACGCGGTGGCACAGAGTAACACAGCAGCGCGAGCGGCATGACATCACTTTGTTGCAGAGACGCTATTGGTTAAATGCCGGCAAAGTAGAACACGTAAGCAGCTTGAAGCGGAAAGCGCGAGTACGTCTGCGATCTGGAGGTGTTACAAAGTTGATGACAACAACATTGCCATAGCAAACTGTGAGATATGTAAACTAGGGATTTAACACAACTAGAAGGCAGCTACATTCAGCCTACTCTGGACTAGAAGACATACAGATGGACCTAAATATGGATATCAAGCGCCTACAGCAAGATGTACAGGTGACATGTAACATTCTTTAATGTATTTCTATTTTATTATTATTATTTCCCATACACTTGATTTAGTAAGCCACTAATACATTACGTGCTCTGCACCTAATTTGCACAAAAATAAAGTGAATCATGTTCTCTTCTGTGCAGACAGGATGGAACAGCAGCCTCTACATGCTGCAGAGCCTACTGCAACAAAAACACCAGCAGCAACACTGACAGCTCACCAGTGGGAGCTGATGAATAAGACTGCTGATGTGATCCCTGCCATAACAGCTCATTTGTATTTTTATTTATTGCTTTATACTGTAACATTTATTGATGTTGTTTAAAACAAACTATAATCCCATGCATTCATTAAGTCATTCATTCACTCATTAGTCCTCAGACGTGTTCTGTCTCGGGAGGATGATGAAGACCAGGGAATAAAAACATTGAAGAGGACTCTGCTGGAGGCAGTGGAGAAGCTGATGTTGAAACTGAGCCACTCTTCTAGACCCCAGATACAAAGATGGGCAAGTATAGTAAAATTAAAATGCACCTTTTGTACATCATGTTATATAAAGTCAAGTCATCACCAGACACCAGTATTAAGCCAATTTATTTTTTACTTCCTTTTTAATTTTGTTTTGGGAAATTTAATTCAACTTCAAGGTCAGATTGTTTTTATTGTTTATTAATTGAATACATGTGTAGGCAGTTTCCTAACTGAAGTGCTGTGCTATGTGGTGTCTCTTCTTGTCTTATTGTTTTGAATTGTGTGTTACTTTTATCTGTTTTTAGCTTTTTCACAAAGTCAGCCAACCTGTTGCTTGCAAAGGAACACCTTATCCAGGAGGTGGCAAAGACAGAGGGGAGGAGGGCTGCAGCAGAGCCAGTGAGCAAGGCACCGCATCATGAAGCATGTAGCAGCCTTTGAGGAAATCTTACAAGAGAGGCAGTCACAGGGGCGGTCCGTACTGCATCAGCAGAAAATCAAGTGCAGACCTACCTCTCAGAAAAAAACCACCCTAAGAAAAGCGACCCACTTCAGTACTGGAAAGAACATGCTAATCAGTTTCCCTCTGTGGCTGCTGTTGCATCAGTGCCCCTGCAGCTCTGTGGACAGTGAGAGACTTTTTAGTGCTGTTGCAAACAGAAACAGGCTCAAACCTGACAAGGTAGAGATGTTAGTTTTCATTAAGAAAAACATACATTTCCTTCTGTGAAACTTACTACTGTGATGACAGCAGTTCCTAAAAGCACATTACTGGCTTTGCAAACACTGTGGCACTTTTATTTTTGTATTTGTTTACATGCCTGCCGGCTATTTTAAGTTGAGGTGCTATTTGTTTTTATCTTAGACATTTTTTATATTTACTGTTGCACTAAAGTCCAAAAGTGAAGAATTTATGTTATTTATTACTGGATTGTTTAAGCTACCTCACAGAAGTGAGTTGTTGAATGTTAAAATAAGGTGAATTAAATAAAAAATAAGGAACATCCTGGATCTGTTTTTTCGCTCTTCTTTATTCGTTTTTTAAGCATTATAGAAGTATTGGATCGGGATCAGTAGACACTCAAATTCAAATGACTTCAAATGAAAAAACCTGATTGGGAGATCCCTAATCTGCAGGGAAGCCAATAACAAAGAAAGACCTGTCTGTCCAAACTTCCTGTTTGTAAATGTGCATCACACATACATGCAAAATATGACATGTGAAGAGGAAACCACACAGCACACGAGGACGCTAGGAGAGTTGCAAAACATCCTCTAACTCACTCAGAGGAGTTACATGTGACAGACATGTGAGTTGGATACTTGGAAGACACTGCAGACACAAGCACCTCCAGAAGAGAAAAAGAAAGAAAGAAAGAAAACAGATGCTTTGTGAATAAAGAAGGTCTATGTGTACGACCAGAGAATGAATATGTTTTACCTAAATCCCTCTTCAGATTCACAGCCATGGTGAAACACATGTCTCAAAAGGAAGTAAGAGAGCACTTCGCAACCTTGTGTTAAAATTACAAAATCTGTGCAAAACAAAATCCACAAAGCAATTTTAAACCGGATGCAGCCAAGTCTCCAGACCACTTCATCATGTGAAGGGAAGAAGTGTTGTCTGATGATTGTTCATACATTTTCAAAGTGGGTTGAGATTTAAAGCAGATGCAATGACTGATTTGGAAAACCACAAAGATTGTACAGTGAAAATTGTGCACATTTCATAAAGTAAGAGATTAAAGAACTATTGGAAGATGTTGAAATAATCACTGTGCATCAGTCAGCAGGAACATTTGGACACAAGCATTTATTTGATTTATTTTACCTTCATTTAACCAGAAAAAAACTCATTGAGATTAAAAATCTCTTTTCCAAGAGCGTCCTGGCCAAGACAGGCACCAAGACATAAAACAGAACAATTTACAGCATACATGCACACGCTGTCGATCTGTGACCAGGGCGTCTACTCTAACTCCCTCTGCACAGAATTCCCTCTCTCGACGACATACGAGGTTCTTCTCAGAAGTGTGCTGTGGACAGCGATGGCCTCTCCCTTTAATTTAGAAATGTCACAACCTGCCATCATTTGAAACTTTACCTGACGACAGGGAAGCAACGGTCAGACAGTTTACACGTGTTAAAGCACTTTGTTCTCTATAAATAAAGTTATTATTCTTATTATTTTTGTTGTTATTATTCTTATTATTGTGTGTGATCCTCATTATGAAACCCCAAAAAGCTAATGTAATGTCGGTGATTACAGAGCAGGTCGATGTATTCAGTTTATCTTTGCTAAAACATGTATATGTATCTCGTGCTTTTATGTCAATATGTAAACATGAGTTTTCTATATTGATTGATTTTATCATTAATATAAAAAAAGGAGGGAATTGAGAGAAAAATATGCCTGATCTAACCTGAGTCTAACTTTGTCACAAGAAATGTGAGTGCACTTTTACTGTGCTGCCTTCTAAGAAAATAATATCTAAGGCAAGAAAAACAAGAACTGAAACCAGACACAATGTTCCAGTCGCTGAGACACACACACACACACACACACACACACACACACACACACACACACCTTATCCGCCTGGAGACAGAGAGGTCAAACTGCACCTGCGCTGAAGGTTTGACTTCTTCTCAGCTTGATAAACCCAAATGTATTTGTGATAAACTGAGACTTCTGACTACAAGTGTCTCCGACTACTTGATGAAGCAAAATGTGTGTGTGTGTATATATATATATATATATATATATATATCGGTAGACAGATAGATAGACAGATAGACAGATAGACAGACAGACAGACAGATAGATAGATAGATGGATGTATTGTACTTTTCAGCTGCAGTATAAAGCAAATAAAGTTGTTATAAAGTAATTTATATTTGAAGATGCAAATCAAATGAATGGCATGAAAAAAATGAGTCCAACTTCCCTCAGCTGGCTGTGCTGATGCAGCAGTTCCCACAGCAGCACACAGGTTGTTAATGAACGACATTTACACTAGAGACTGATGGTGGTGGTGGGGGGTGATGTTTCCGCAGCTGCAATTACTTTCTGTTCCTGTGTGAAGAAGTTGAGGTGCCAGCTTGAATTTTCCCACCAGTCTCTGCAGAACGGTTGTGAAAACCTATGTGGCACCTATAGACGGGTTTCCGTGCAACGTCATCGCCGAGATGCACGCACAACCAGGGGGCAGAAATCAGTTTATACGACATATCCAGCTGCAGTGTTGGCAAATTACTAAATTATAATGACTGACTTTTTCCGTATTACTTATTTAAAAAGTAACAATATTACTTTACTTATCTCTGGGTATTAAAAGTAAATGGTCACGTTACTTGTTCCATTACAGCTACTTCCAACCACTGCAGCCTGTCCTTTAAAAGTGACAGGAACCTGTTCAGCAGCGCGTTTTAGAAATGAATCCACTTTACTGGAGCAATAATGAAGCTGAGGACTCAACAAACAGCCGAACTGAAACACTGCAGCCTCTCAGACCAGAGGATGCTGCATCAGACAGGCTGTTTAAAAACAAAGCAGGTCTCTCCCGACATTTTAACCGATCGCGTCTTCATCACAGCATTAATGAGGAGGATTTTACAGTAACATTTCTTAAAGTCACTGTCTGAAATAGAAAAAACAAAGCAGGTCTCTCCCGACTTTTTAAACTAATCGCGTAACGTTATTCATAACAGCATCAATGAAGATGATTTTTACGAAGCATAAAACGTTTAACGCCATTGTCTGCGATAAAAAAAAAAAAATCTGTGTCTCGCTTTTTGAACTGACGTTACTGTTTTGCACGTGTGTTTATAAGACAAGTATTCAGCGCTTTTACAAAACACAAAACGTTGCTTAAAGCCACTCTGTCCAGCAGAGTGGAGGCTTCACTGGCGGTAACGTTAGCTGCCGGAGTTTCTCTCTACAGTTTCACGTTTCTTAGCAGATGCTTCAACACAAAAGTGTTCTCGGTTGAAAGCTTTTTGCTGGTCTCACAGCGTTTACGGAAGACCGTGTTCTTTGCATCTGTGAGTGTGACACAGCTAAGTTCGGCCTGATGGCAGCACTTACAGCCCTCTCCCTCGTTATTCCATTAGCTTTTTGGCCAGCAGCTGACTTGAACAACATTACGTCCGGTGTCGCTGACCTGCAGCACGTTCACACATGTTCTATTAATATGTGAAATGAAACACAAACAAACAGATCCAACTCTGAAATGGCAGTTTATTATCAAGTCAACAAGAATTTATAAACAATGCTTAATCTACGTAGAGTACAGCGGTTGACTTCAGTCTGACCGGCTACCGAAGTGCTTTTGCCCCCTGGCTGCGCATCCAGTAGTGTTTGTGTACAGGAAACCCGTATGGGGCCAACATAATTTATTTATATAACTGTTAAAAAAAAGACACCTGTCCATAGAGCACGGACAGCAGCCCGCTGGTTCATTTTCTATACTGACACTGGGCTGGCCCAATCACATCTCTGACTAAAAGTTTTGTGAAAATACCGAAAACATTAATATTTTTATATTTCATCCGGTGGCGTTTTGTAAAAACCATCCGGTGTATTGTCTGAGGGTGTAGGGAAGATGTGTATTGTGGTGGGCCGCCTGGACCAAAAATGCTAAGAGGATGTTTTTGTCCCAGTCCAGCCCTGCCTCTACATAATCATCTCTTCTTTTTTCAAAAGGAGATCTGGCCTAGAGAATACGCTGTTACAGAGCTTTAACAAGAAGACCGGAGACATAAGCTGCACCTTTTAAATTAGAACAATCTTCACTCCACTATGTTGAAGGAAAAAACCCGGGAAAATAAGACTTGCTGCGAAGTTTCAAATCAGATCTTTGGAAGAAAGACCAGGGCTGGCTTACGTCTTAATGTTTTATCATCAGGGTTCTGCCAGGTGTGGTCTTTAACTTCCATTGGTAGTTAGCAGTTCATGTTAGCTGTCTCTTACCAAAACGCTTTATGTCCACAGAATGCACTTTTTTAATCAAAGAACCAGGTATTTTGAAA